CTGGTGTAAGCGATTTATTTGGCGGATTTTTCAATCTTCTGCGTAAAGTTACTTTAACATTCGAACTAGTAGAACTTCAAATCAATATTGACCTACCCATTACTTTACTCTAAAGATGATTCTCCAAATATTAAAAATAATAGGGCTCTTTCAAACCGTACTGTTTCACTTTGGCGAGCACCTTATCCTGTTTGCATCGTAGACAGGTGCGTGGCAGTCCCATTCCAGTATTCAGCACTCGAGAGCCTTCTAGTAGACCGAATAATTTGTGTGGTCGTTTTTGATTAGTGAAAAAGGAAAGATTCGGTGTTCTGATCAGCAGCAGTAAAAGTATTTCGTTCATCTAGCTAATCGAATCCTGAGTCTTAATGGCAAAGCAACTTCGACAAACGGCAAATATCCTGCTGATAGTTCATGTAGCAAATCCCAGGACCGACTTTCTTTTATACTCAGCATTGATCAATAGTTTACCGTTTTCTTACAAGTGTCAAGAATTCTCGCGCTGTCCATGTGCATTACGTAAAGGCCGCTGTTTTTACAAAAAATCACACCTTAGCACTAATTTGAGCCTGTATTGGCCGGTATCTTCAGCATGCTTGCATAATGGACCTCTTAATCTCTTACTAATTTTGGTAACGAAAACTTGACTCCATCAGACGTTTTCCAAAAACTTAACCCTTTTATTTACTGCCTTTTTCTTTTAAATGGCAAAGTATATTGCGAAATATAAGTCGTATATAATGCTGAGATATTTGCAAAACTCCGGACCGCAGGTGTATACGGTGGGGAACGAACGCGCTATTGTCCTCTCCGGGAAGTAGCGCACTTCACCACCACACCATCCAGGTCCTTCGTTTTTTCTGTCTCTCAGCTGGTTCTATTGATCTTTCGCCATCAGCAATCACCCGTCAAAGGGATTGATTTGCGGAGCCCGAATCGGCAATGAACCCAGTTAAGCTGAGGCTTAGTTATAATCACAATCTTAACCCTTTTATTTACTGCCTTCTTCTTTTTAATGGCAGGGCATATTGCGAAATATAACTCGTATATATATATATATATCAGCATTATATACGAGTTATATTTCGCAATATACCCTACCATTAAAAAGAAAAAGGCAGTAGATAAAAGGGTTAAGATTGCGTTTATAACTAAGCCTCAGCTTAACTGGGTTCAATGCCGATTTGGGCTCCCTAGATCAATCCCGTTGACGGGTGATTCGATAATCCCGGTGATTCGTTGATTTGATGGGAAAAGATCAATAGAACTAGCTGAGAGACAGCAAAAACGAAGGAACCGGATGGTGTCGTGTCCGGAGTTTTGCAGATATCTTAGCATTATATATGAGTTTTCCATAAAGTTATACGCTGAAAAAATACGATCCAATGCTTGCACATAACACAAATATCAATGAAGCAAACATCTCACGTCCCGAATTCTTCTCATTTGTCAACGTCCGGTCCCTATCGTTGCATGTTACACAGTGTTCTTTTGTGCCACGGATCTCCCTCACACGAAGTATCCCGATAGCCGGTTAATTGCGAGGCTACGTGGGGCGCCCCCAAGTGACGGTTAGGGGTTAATCGCGGACCAAAAGTGACCTTTGCTTCCCTGAGACGTAGGTGGATCGACGGAATGGACTCCCTGTTCATGCTGCGCTGATTTGGCACATACTGTATTCCTCCTCTTTCCGATCCTCGTAAACACACTGGCTCGGTTCTTCACACGTTACCTGTCTGAATGCAAGGTCCCTACGCAGTGGAAGACCAACAGAACCCTGTTATTGTTCAAGAAGGCAACCTACACGATATAGGCAACTATCGCCCAATCTGCTTGGTGTCTGTCGTCTACAAACTTTGCACTCGAGTCAACCTAAAGAGGATTAACAGAACACTAGACGAAGGACAGCCATGTGAGCAAGCAGGGTTTCGAAAAGGAATTAGTACTAAAGATCAGACCACACCCACACGATTACGAGACTCATTGAAGTATCGCGGACGTACTAAAGACCGCTCTGTCTCTTTCGTCGATTTAAAGAAGGCCTTCAGATAAACTGAAATAGAAGCAGTCAAGAAAACCCTTCACAGTCAGGGAGTCCCTACTCAGTACAGAACGATTGTTGGTGAGTTGTACGAAAACCTCACAACCAAGATACCACCATTCTACCACGATATTAGCATAGACGTCAAAAGAGTGGTTAGGCAAGGTGATACCATCTCCCCAAAATTATTTACCGTCATCCTCCAAAACGTCATGCGAACGTTGGCATGGGATAATATGGAAGTGAAAATCGATGGTTGGCAACTACACCATTCTTCCTTTGCTGATGAAATCTTCCTTATAACACCAAACATTTGCCACGAAGAACGAATGCTTGCCGACTTTGATAAAGCCAGTGGAAAGATTGGTCTTCGAATAAATCTTATAAAAACGATATTCACCATAAACGTATCAATTTCGTATGACCCGTTCACGTTCAACGGAACGAATATCTCCGAATACTCCAGTTATGTCTATGTAGGTCGGGAAATCAACATGTTGAACGACTTATCTCCAGATCTGAGCAGAAGAAAACGAGCAGTTTGGGGAGCTTTCAGGAGCATCGAGGATGTGGTGAAGGAAACAAAGAACACCCGACTCCGTGCTTACCGTTTCGACCGAATGGTACTTACTGCTCTAAAGTATGCGTCAGAAACCTGGTTCCTGCGCAAGCAGGATGGAAGATCACTCAGCGTTATCGAACGCGCAGACGAAAGGACGATGCTAGTGGTCCTGTTGTCAACGATCAGAAATCAGAGGTGTTGCTCTGTGCGCCAAACAGTCAAAGATAAGGTGGGCCAGACAAGAAATGCTTATGAATAATAACCGATGGAAAAGAGCCGTTAGTGTCTGGATTTCTCGCGATGTTAAACGCACCGCAAGAAGACCACCAACTCGATAGCCAGAGTTTTTCATGAAAAGCCTAAAAGAAAACTATGATACTCGAAGAGTTCCTAGTTGGAGAACAAAACACTGGGCTACTCCTGCACGCGACAAGGAAAAATGGAGAAATTAGTGCCGCCCGCTCAAGTCACTCGACAAATGGCACTGCAGGTAATACAGCTGATACTCCTACATGACAAAAATAACCAGCAAACAAATATGGAGTATATAGAAGCTTCCAGCTTGTACGACTCATGACTACAAGAGACTAGAATAACCTTTCGTCACACATTCACCCACAGATATCAACAAAAAATCGGAGCAGTTCCAAAGCCCTCATAGATAAACTGCAAAGTGTTATCATCAGTCTTTTTTTTGCTAAAGTATCACAAACGTTTAATTATCCAAGTTTAAGTTAAAATCTTTAAAATCTACAAGGTTCCGCTAGTTGAGACGCGAGAAGTCGAGCACTCTACGTTAAACAGGCGAATACATTTGCTGCTGCATCGACCTACCCGATTCCCAACTGGACAATATGACATATTGGATGCGCTGACCGATTCAAAGAACATTCTCTGGTGAAATAACTGATACAACATCCTTCAAGAGCTGTAAAACAACTTTACAACACGAACTGACGCGACTCAAAAGCGATATTTAAGGTGATGTGTTGGCATCCTTGCTTCCTGACAGACGACAACTGCACACTTCCGGTCATCTTCATATTGAGAGTTCGACATTACGATACTTTTAACCCCTTTGCGGTGAATCCCAGCCATGTCTTGCACGAAACGATATCTATGGAAGGAAAGTCTTGCAGCTTGCACAGAACTTATGCGTGCTGTTGATCTGCACCATTTCTTCCTTAAAATTACATGATCCCTCATCAAATGTACCACTCAGATCCCACCACTTCTGCATTCGATTCGTTTTCTTCCCACTCAAGCTCCACAGTGGTCTTTGAACAGTTGGCGTGTTGTCGTCTCAACTGCTTCTTGAGGACCTCATCTTCTTTTATGAACGTCGTATAATGCCTGTCGAGTCAAATCTCCTTGCTATCTTGGGGATAGCCAGATTAAGGTGTTCTCACGCGGATTTGAACAGAGCGTCATGGGCATGACGAACTAGCACCTTTGCTTCTTATGCAACTATATCACTAACCAGTGCGCTATCCCTTCTTCCTTGCTTTGTATCAATGAATACAACACGATGTTATGAAGGCTACTACATCTCATCTTAGAAAGCAGTACCAGGATCCACCACCGTCGTGGTATCAATGTCGCATTGTGGCAAATCTCCCTCTTGTCCACATGGGCGGCGACACGGCTCGATGTTGACAACCTACGGCAGATTTTGGCCATGCTAACCTCAGAACTCAAGGAAACCGCTACGACTAAACCCGCAAAATTTCGAAGAAGTATAAATTATGCCGGAAATTACGCAACCAGTTAAAACGGGCCATCCAAGTAGTCAATTAAATACTACTCCTCATCTAAATAAACCGTTCTATCCACATTTCTTGAAGCAATAAATCTGAAAGCATTCTGCTAGAGATGTTGGCATCTGAACCAATTAAAGTCTCAAACACCAAGTCTTTATACAAAATGCATAACAAGAAAATCAAGGCTAGTAAGAAAACGTAGTTGAACGAAGTAAGAATCCTCAACATGGACCAAAACAGAACCTGCAAGATAGGTAGAATCTCAAACAAATAGATTACACACAAAAAAAAAATGAGTAGCGGGCTTGTGGTCCAGGTCACGAAAACGTTCGCAAACTTCCAAAATTAAAAATATAAAATTTAAGAGTATACAATAATGACAAGTAAAACACTAACTGAAAAGAAGAAATTCATAAGTCGAACAACACCGAACATGAAGAGAAATTACAATCGCGTGAGACAGATGAATGAGAAAGTTACATCAGACATAAACATGGAAACGTCGGAAAGCTGGAAATGAACCGTACTTAGGATGCTCCGCAGTATCGCTGATGTTTCTCTTCTCTTTTTTGCCTGCTACTAGATGATAGAAAGTTGTCGTAAAGAACTGCGCGTACGATTTAGGACTGAAGAAAAATCAGTTATGGATCACGAGCGCTTTTTCAGCGGCATGGGATCCACATGCTCCACGAGACTTATTCATATGATCAAGACCAAGATAGAGAGATGACGCTAAGGCTAAAAATTAACGGCATTAATACATCTGCCAAGCAAATTTTTAAATAAAAAACGCAACTTACATGCTACGTGAGCGTGGCCAAGTTCGGCAAGATTCACTCTTCCATTCGAAGTCATGTCAAGATATCTTACAACTCGCGAGGAAAAAATTAACGCAAACTTGTATTTCTCATACTCCTTGTCGGGAACATCAAGACGAGCTTGAATGCGTTCTCTAACACTAGACAATAGCTCATCGTTGGTCACCTAGACTAGGCTCTTAATAGAATTCGTCCAAAAACCTGTATTGATTTCATAACGATTCAAACACATTCTTTTGATTGTGTGTGAAAATGGCAGAATCCCGCTTATATGAAGAAAATTTTCTGGTAACATCGATACGGCTGTGTTACAACACCTACTAGTGTATTGACATATTGGGAAGCGCTGAATAAGTTCCAAACATGCATAAAGCAAACTACAACGAAAGAAAACAAAAGAATACCAGACCTTCAAAAAGAAGGGGATGCCAAACATTCGACCGGGATCATTGTCAAAATGCGCAATTGGGACAAGGTATTCGTTGCTCCCAACGACCAGCTGATCTTGAGGAACCTCCTCAACACGTCCCTAAATGCACTCACTGCTATCAAAAGGAGAGCAAAAAATACTAAAGAATTACATAACTTCGATGCCAATACAGAAACAAATATCGTAAACAACTACCATGTACATGGACGACGTCATGGTTTTCTGGAATACTTCCATCACAGAAGTTTCTTCTTTGAATATCGTGTAAGCCCGCTTGCTCTGGCTACTCTGACCAACGTAGACGAGTCTAATTTTATAAGAAATAAATAAAGTTAAAAATTGTTAGAAAACTGGATTCCTTCCATCCATTTCATAAAATCTATTTTCCTTTAAAATCTGCTTTTCATCCTATTCCCTGTACAAATCAAGTAAGCCATTCCAAGCAAATTCGAAAAAGTGTGATGCGTCGTCAAAATGATACCTCAACTTTCCCGTACCGTTCGGTGCGAACTTGAACTCTCGTCTTGCCTCCTCCAGAATATCTCGCACTGTCCCAATTTTCTCAGGAAAGATAGTGATTTCCTGAAGATTTCTCCAGAAAAAATTCGTGAATGCTCACAAACGTCATACCAAAAGACTCACCGTTATATTCATTTTCTCGTCCATCATCTGGACCTTCATTTGCCGCTTACGCTTAATATCAGCTATTAGAATTGGCATCTTCGTATAAATTACGCGGTACCTTGAAGAATGTAAAATATTCACAAAAATTTAGAGAAAATAAAACTTCATTTCGAAGTAGATTCGATCAAGTATGCGTTGTATACCTAATCGTTTTATATTACACACCTCTTGTTACGTCTGGGATCATGAAGTAGGCCTCCAGCAAGTCCTAACAAACCGTTCACTCGAAAAACCTTAAATTAATAACATATTCGGTATTCTTTACCGTTTTATTTGTACCACCGACCTCCCATTGGGACTCGGTGATGAACCGCGTAGCACGACCACTGAACGGTGACACTTGCCACAGCAAAATTTTTGCAGGGTCGTAATTGATCTCTTTCCCAATGTAATCCACCAGCTGTGGCATGGTCCAATTCTAAAACGACATATAGGCATATATGCTGCAAAACGAAAAACAGGAATTTCAAACTACGAAAACAACTAGAGAAGACAACCGTATAGAAATACTATTTGAAGACATGATTCGAAATTTCAATTAAAAGATGAATACAGACAGATATATCCACAAAAGAGCTCATACGCATTGAAAGAGTCGTTAGCCTAATCACACACTGAACTCACCAGTCCAATCGTTCCCGTGATAGGAGGATCAAGCTCCGCGTTATTCGAGACGAAAGAATCATTGTTGGCAACGGCTTCGATGTCGATGGTGTTATAAAGAGTATCGAGATGCAACTTGGCATTGTTTGTTTCATTTGTTCGGTCTAGACGCTCAGCGATCAACAAGCCGCCATCGCTTAGTTCGATGACTGTATTATCAGCGCACAATGGTTTTCCAAGGTTCTCAATTAAGCGGATACGGTCCGGCGCAACTTCCTGAAAAGACTTAGTATAAATCGAAAAGACTAGCGCTGGGCTAAAGCACAACATACCTCATAAAAACGTAATGGTGTATTCTCAGGAAGACCAATCAGCTTTAAACACTCATTAGCGTAAGCTGACATACAATGACGATAGGCAACTGTGAAATGCCCAACACACCGTAGAGTACGTGATTGCTCATCATAGTACTTCAAGAACATCAACATTTCGGCTTAAAATTTCTTATCAGATAACACTCAAATTTTTGAGACCTATCAAAATCCTACAATTCTCATTGTAACTCTTTAGTGTGTTTGCTGGGAACGCCTCAATGTATAGAAAATTTTGATCGCTCTCAAGAACACCTTCTAGAGTCGTCTCTTGCGTATCCTCGGAATGCGGAATCTAAAACATTTCCAGAGAAATGCTCAGTAACTTNTAACTCAAATTTCTCACCAATAACGTCGGACGCAAACGAGGTAATGATGACATCAAATTGCCCTCTTCTTTATAGCTCATATCCTCAAACTTCCAAATTCTGAACATTTCCCGGGCTGGTGTCTGAAGCTCGTTGCTTTTAAGCTTACGAATGGATCTTATCATAATGGAAAAAAAAGCACATAAAACTAGCAACCTCCATTACGTGCTCATTTGAGAACAGCACTGTTTTTACGTATTCGTAAAGTTGCGCGATCGTCATGCATTTCTCGATTATCTCGCGAGGCAAACCAGTATCGTCTAATAGCTTCGGATCGACCAAATCAAAGCCGTTGTAGCTGGTTAAGTGTTCGTCCGTGACCATCTATACCATAAATATCAAATTCATTAAGCAGGAAAACGTGTTCAAATTCCCAAATAAAATTGAACATGGCTGTAACTTTCTCCACGTAGCATTTCCTGATTGGAAGACCGTAGTAGTCTATTCTATAAAGTCTTAATTGAAACACCACACTTCCTTAAAGGATTACGATATACTCAGACTCTCTAACACACTTTGCCATACCGGAATAACTTACAAGTTAATAGTGTCATAAAAGGCGTCAATATTTTGAAAGTTATCACTGCACTACGGTGTGCGTGGCGCAGTGGTCGCAGGCGCCCTGCAACACATACGTGAAATCGACCACTGCGCCCATGGCCCACAAAGCCTTGCATCTCTTCCGGGTCAGCGGATTGGTACCAGATTTGTCTGGAAGGATAGTAGCACTGGCTGGATACATCGGCGAGCCACCAGTCATCGTAAAGGCCAGATATGCATTCAATTACCTTCTAACGATGCTTAATGAAGTCGAATGCATGGCGCATCCCTCAGGGATTGATCAACGCCGAGAGCTCCATCCTTTATTATCACTGCACTTAGAGTTATGCAAAATTTAAGGTAAGCATATTAGCCCATCATTGAGAAGGAAATCCTCGCAACGGTTTGCTACCTCATCGCGGCAGAGAGTTCATGGATGTCGGACTGCAATGTACAGCGGAAGGATTCATCCCCCGGGAAGGCCTCCCAAGTGGAGAACTAGTCCGGCGTTTCTATTCAGAAGACAAGCAAACATTAAACCAACAACAAGACGGACCAACAAAACATCCAATAATGCTAGTGAGAGAAGGATCTATCTTCTACGTTGCATTTTGGAAGTTAGATTGCGAAGCTGGTTTACCAAGAATTCTGCGTAATTTTGGCACTTCCTACACGTCCTTGAGAATATACAAGCGAAGCGAAATCACGAGTGATTCCCAAAGGAATTCGGAAGTTGGCCTTTCAGTACAAATGTATGTTCTAATAAACTTACGACAATTTCAGTATAGAGATGTGCTTCCTGTTTTTCTTTCTTCTTCTTGCTTTCTTCTTCTCGTTCATTTTCAAATCGCTGTACGAGGTGTGCGGGAACTTCGAGATTCTCATGCTGGCACAGGACCTCATCTAAATAGTAATGAACAAGGACAAATCTGTACAAGAAGTTCTCCAACAACATAAGTGCACTTTTACCTATACAACTTTGTCTCACGTATACGAGCATGTAAGCATTTGTATACGTGCGTCCGGTCGATTCGCTGTCGTCTCCTCCGTAATTCGCCATAACTGCGTCCCTCACGGTTGCCCTTGAAACGACATCGTCGTCAAATTTACACCACTGAAAGAGCAAAAGCATTTATCCTACTTGATTCAAATCACTAGTGAAAGTTTCTACGGCATCATATGGCTCATATCTCACCTTATACATGCCTCGCCCGTAAAAGCTACGTGACCAATTTGCAAGATTGTAACGGAAGTGAGGAATAATATGCCCTAGTAGCTTTGAACAAATTAAAGTGCAAAGACTTGATTAAAATATTATGAAGAAAGCCCTCACGCATTCAATCAAATCCTGTGTGATACACAGACCCTTTGTTTCCTATAATGATAGTAGGTCCCACTACTAATTAGCAACGTCCCATATTGCCTAATCAGAAGCACTGTGAGCAAAGAGGAAAAAAACTTATAAAGTCTTAAATCTGAAGAAAATTATCGGATCCACAAACATTGAACAACAAACCTTCGGCTTGTATTTTTCACCAGGTGGACGAAGGCCAGTGTTGATGAATACAACGTAGTGACCACCATGGACGTCACCTGAGTGCACAAGTACTGCGTGTAAGCAATATGTGTAGTCTTCTCCGTTTTCCTCCATAAATTCGTCCAGGCAAAGCTTATCAGGGAAGACAAATCTTTAATTCGTGCCATTTACAAAATTAGAAGAGTTTTGGAATCTTTGAGTTATACGAACTTGTCATTGATTTTCCTGTTGGCGTCACGAGTGACATCGTACTGGAAACGCATCAGCTGCAGGTGCAGAACAGGTGGGAAGGAAACAAATTTCACACCCTTTTCAGCCGGTTGCATACCATAGTCACCAGCATCGTATTTGTTCTCGCCATCCAAACGCTCAACTTGGACATACTCTCGAAAGGATTGCATAACTGGAAATAAGTCGTATTGCATAGAGGAGTGTTAGCATACTATTTACTCGTAATTTAATATTTCTAAAATCTGTTTGTTAAAATGTGGTCATAACACAGACACAAATGAACATGGTTATTGCGAAAAAGCTGTACGTGTCATTCATTAGCTCATTCGCCAAATCGCATAACATAGCTGATAGGAACAGGTTCAACCACTCCTTATTTGCGCTATAAAATGAAATTCAACTGATCAAGCTGCCACCCAGGGTGAGACGTGGAGATTCCTCCACTTATGCTTCTCTATCTGAACAACAACCAAGAATCGAAATGTAAGTCATGGATCTATCTCTTTGTAGCAAACACTCAGAACCCTCCACACGTACTGCAGCAGTTCCTGTGGCAATCTCAACAGCGGAGACACTGGAGTTCCTTCATCACCAGCAAACGACTCCATAGTACTGCCACCACCATAGAATGATAGAACGTTCCGAAACTCTTTTTACAAGTCATAATGTGTGGAAAACCGACTCTATCTGGTGAAATATTGGAAGACGTCAGTGATTGGAAGCTTCCGGTGCAACAAAGGAGTTGTGGCGAAGAAAGAACTAAGCACCGCAAAATAAAGATCGAGAAAGAAATAAACTGGAAAGAATTGATTCTGTCACATATATTCTACCAGATATTTAGTCGAAATCAGTTCGCGTTTCCTAGAACTCTCTGTTAAACCATAACGTCCGCATGCCAATTAACGTGGCTGTCCAGTTTGAATACGAGCAATTTTTCGTCAGCTGCGAACTTTCTAAACATTTGCAGATAAAATAAAAACGTTGTAAAATAACCATAGCGATTTAAAGGCTGCAAACATGATAGAATAATACAAGAGACTTTGTTCTAGTGTTGGGAAATACGCTTTTGTCCACATTATAGATTTCAACTGTTATGCTTTCCATTAATAAATGTAATCTTACGCACTGTTGTGCGTGATTCGTTACCGTTCCCATAATTCGGTGCGTTAAAGCTATTTGAACCCTATATGACTTTCCTGCTATAATAATCTTATTGCGCTGCATTCCCTGTCACAGTACTTCTCTTATTATTTCGCCAGTCTATTATAGAAGCCAGTCTCGCTAGCAACCATCTGGCCCTATTTCTTTCCGTGGTAACACTGAATCTTGTTTTTCTTGGTGAAGTTGTATTCTATGTGAAACCTCTTCCTTATGCTTATGCTATTAGCCTATACTCTCTTATCTCAACGTTACTTCTCACGTATTATCTTATCCTCATCTATGATCCTTCTCTCATTTCGTCGCTTGTGCTGTTTTAGTATGATCATATCATTATTACTATAATGTTACTGTTATAGGCAGTTTAACTACCAAAAATTCGAGTTCTAAGCAACAAAGCCAAAGATAACAAGCCCGAAGTGGCAAACGACGAGCAAATATAAATTGGTGAAAGCGAACAACTGAACACCGTGTGGCACTTCGTTCAAATTAGCAAGTCCGTCTCCAGGACTCCCACTCAGAACCGAAAGACGTGGATTCATATGGCAACTACAGCCTAATGATCAACTGTGGTAGCAAAAAACTACAATTTCTATTTCTACAGCCTCACAAACGTCAAGGCCTAAAAATCTAAATATTACAAAGCTTTCGAATAGCAGACATCACGATACAGACCCACCTTCAAGGGTAGAACAGAGATACCAATGACTAGTTAACGAATTAATATCTACACTATCTGATATATTATTACTTCACTCAACTACCACAAAATCATGAGCGGCGCAACAGTCACTACAACATTGGTGCATCGATCGCACCCATCATTTTACAGAAATATCAAAGTAGGTACTATGTCTTATAGCAAAACTGCAATAAATACATGGAAAAGAGGAATAACAACAACTTTAAGCAAACTATAGACCCACTGTTACATTTTCCTTTGATATTCAGCTGAATGTCATAGAACGGTTCCTCCTTGGTACTTTCAAAGTTGACATTAATACAACGAATATAGGATTTCATAATCCCACGAAACAAACTTGGAATTTCGTCTTCCGCCTGATAAAAAACGAAAATGATTTGAACGTTCATATTAAACACTCAAAACATACTTGAAACCGGTAACACGAACGAGTGAGAAACGAAATCAGAACTGCAAATAGCCTTACACAAGACACTACATCTAAAAACAAAGAAATATCTTACCGGTGACTTCTTCATCTTACTCTCAAGATTATCGAGAAGTACTCTGCACAATTCCTGTACATCATGTTGCGTGAGCGTCTCTACTGTGTTCCAACCAAATGACTTTGTGAGCTTTCTGGTATTCACTGGTTGGTCCGAATGCTTAAGGAAGAAAACGCAAACCTTCACTAACACTGACAATGAATAAATAGCTTGAAGAAATGGAGACCTAAAAACCACCTGTAAGTCGTAGAATACCCGCTGCATAGCCAAGGCAACACTGTCTTCTGAATTATTCTGTGATACCGGCATGTCATACACCGCCTGAAATGCTTCTCTCCACCAATACAACACATTAAATATGTTCCCTTCGGTGATCTTGCAAGACGCAGCATCAACGACGAAAACGACGAGAACGGTAAAAAATAACAAGTATACTACTGGATTTAACAAGCATCTTCAAAGCACGTAGGGTTAATATCGTATGTGTTATATTCCTCGCTTGTGCAAATAAATGCAAAGATGTAGAGCAAAACATGTAACAGAGTTCGGGCAAAACACTAAGACGAGAGTTTCACTTTCGCGATGCAAACAAGAGGTTTGTTCTAAGCTTTCCGACGAAGACAGCATATCTGACAAAGGCGAAATGCTGTGTTCACCTCTTGATGTGCTCCCGGATGTGAACACAATGTCTAAGATCAAAGAAAAAAACGCCTTAAGAATGACTGACTCTCTAGTTTTAACAGTGGCGTAGGCACAATTGCACAGAAAAGAGCTTCGAAAACGCGTAGTTAGTTCTCCATTTCTTAACATTCGCTGTGCCACAACATGCAACCTTGCTCACCAAAGTGCAAAACAACCAGTGAAAAAGTAAGTTAGGAACACAGCGCTGCCCACAGTAGCAAAAAAAAGGCGCACGAACCTTCCTTAATTTCGTGGTGAAATATAAAGTCTGCAGAATGGAATTCATATAACATGTGGCACCCTGATTTTTGAGTCCTACGAAACCAGTATGCTTTTTACTGTCCCACCTGAAAGGTTTCAGTAAACATTGAGCCAGATTGTTTCTTTTGAAGTTCTAATCCGAAATTCTCTAGAATATCGTCACTAAATATAAATTTCTGAAATATTGCTCGGAGGAAGAAAGCGTTCACTAGTCGTTTACTGCAAATAAACATAAATCTACCACGGACAACTCACTGTACACCGCGCGGAGCATCCGCTGAAACATGAACTGCCAAGCGTATAGTATCATCTTTTATGAAACCATTTTCTGGATTTAGAAGGAACTAGAAAAAAGTATGAGTAAAACTCAAATCATCGTCATTAAATCTTGAAAACCGAACACAAATGCAAAACGGAGGTATTTGAAGAAGAAAAAAGCACTTACATCACAACTTAGAAACTCCCAGCATCCCCAGTCAAATGTTCTTTCATTGAATTTGAAGTTGACCATTTCGCAATGGTCGCACCTATCTTTCGTTTGAGCAAGAACCTAAGCAAACAAAAAAGTGGCTACTCCAACGACTATCCTCTATGTCACTTTGTTGTCGAAAAAACTACACCGTCAAAAATTTGTCAGTTCACTACCCAACGAGTTAATAAAAGAAGGTAGGAGCAAATTCAAAGATGCGCCGAGGACCTTCTGTATGATCCGTGCACTGCAATTCCAAGCGGCAGCATCAGCGTATCCGTAGCATTGTACGAAGAAACCAAGCGCTTTGTAAGGCTGCGTTCCCGTGCCGACTCTCGTCCCACCCCTAAGTATACAGAAATCCAAAACAATATGGCATGTACAGCATAATCAGTTTACCTTGGCATCGCCAAGATCTTCCACTGAAGACCTTGAACAATCACAGGTTTCGAGAGACGCAGCTGAGTTTCGGGTTGTCCGTTACAAAATTCACTAAACCTATCAATGTCGAGGTAGATAGTGCTTTCCGGCTTATAAACGTCATCTGGATCGTCCTCTTCCTCGGTCATATAGTCGCTTTCGCATCCTGGTAAGTCGACAACTAAAAATAACTGATTTCAAAAGCACGTGCACATTAGCACTAGGAGGTCAACCCACATTTCTTTATACGCTCTGCGCATTCCTCGTCGCAAGAGACGTTCACCTCCATAGCAGCATCGGGTGGAGCGTAGATTTCATACTCTTCACTAGCCGAATCCTCGATGGTATTCACCTTCAAAAGCAATGCTTATTCGCACAAGATAAAAAGTTTTAAAAAGCAGTAGCATCAAAGAAGTGGAAATGAAAACGTCTACCTCAAGGTCTTCTACGATTGTATCGCTGTTGCCGACATCCATTTCTCCGTTTTCTACGTCAGTTTCACTTTCGACTTCCTTTTCTGGCTTCAGTTTAACGTATTGTTGAATAATGACAAGATCTTTGCTCTCAACCTCCATGTCGTTAGTAACATCGTTCCTCAGCAGGGCGTTCTCCAGGGTTTTCTTCGTTCCCGTGTGATCCTTCTCGTCAACGCCGTTTCCCATTACACTACACCGTAGATCAGGAGCTGTAAAAGAAACGATATCAAAACTAGGATGCTACTTGCGATTATTGCGAAAGGCGACTGCGCAAAGGACTAATGAGAAACAAATTATTTTCCCAACCTGTGTTAGCAGATGATAAAACAAGAAATGACTCAAGTGCTACGAAAAGAATGTTAAGGATACCACTACAAGCAGAAAAAGGCTCGTGAACAGCGAACCAGACTTCAGGAAATAGTGCATGAAACATATAGATTCTTGTCACTAAATGAGCAAGAGGTCTGAAAGTACCCAATGTGACAAACGGCGGAGCAGTTAAGATCACACCTAATGTCACTAGCAAGTTAATAGGTAAATTGGCCAACGACAACAAAAAATCTTTTAGATTTTAAAACTTCTGCTCTAATTAACACAATATCTCAAAAGAAGTAAAATTGAATGCTACACGTAGAGAGGTATTCATGAATGGCTCTTCCAAAGAAGTGACAGATATTTTTCAGTATTACGACCAACAAGCCTTTCGTGTATGAAAACGTGCAGAATAAGAATGGGTTCTGAGAAAACGAACCCTGAGCGGTAAAGTAAGAAACAACAGAGAAGGCATGTACTACAAGAAAAACTATACCTAAGTATATCTGTTTAGATAGGAATCAAAGAAATTCCAATCAAAAACAGCCACAATGATGCTGAAATACGAACAAAACTCGGAATCTCAAGTGCGCTACGCACCCCATGGGCACGTATATTTGGACGCGGCAATGAGTTATGTCGCACCGACTATCCGTCGCTTTTAAAAGTAATTTGATTTGACCTACCGACCTAATCGATCGCACTGATCAAGTCAGTCATCTCATTCCAATAGTACCAAGTTCGACAAGAAAAAGGTCACGCCATCAGACGTTTCCTATAAATTGTACAATGAAACAATGCCACCAAATGTATGTCGCACCGACTATCCGTCGCCTTTAAAAGTATTTTGATTTGACCTACCCACCTAATCGATCGCGCTGGTTAAGTCAACCATCTCATTCCAATAGTATCAAGTTTGACAAGAAAAAGGTTACGCCATCGGATGTTTCCTATAAATTGTACAATGAAACAATACCACCAAATGTTCGAATATGACATAATTAGCAATTAAAAAAAACACCTGACGAGTTTCGAGTTTTGTTTGTCATTGTTTTTGTCGGATTTCACGTACTGCCCTTTCGTGAAAAAGTGATTAGTAAATTAAAGTGGAACATATAAAAAGTTCTTGCTCAGTCGACTCATGTCAACAAGTGACCAGAATATTCATATGGAACGCGTCCACCCAGGAGTATCACCTACATGTTGAAGCAGCTCTTATGCCTTCATGTATACACTGTAGTGTGTTATTATCGACCCTTTCTATTGCGGCAATAATTACCAATAAGCGTTTAATTAACCAAGTTTGATGTTAAATCTCTAAAATCTACAAGGTTCCGCTGGTTGAGACGCGAGAAGTCGAGCACTCTACGTTAAACAGGCGAATACATTTGCTGCTGCATCGACCTACCCGATTCCCAACTGGACAATATGACATATTGGATGCGCTGACCGATTCAAAGAACATTCTCTGGTGAAATAACTGATACAACATCCTTCAAGAGCTGTAAAACAACTTTACAACACGAACTGACGCGACTCAAAAGCGATATTTAAGGTGATGTGTTGGCATCCTTGCTTCCTGACAGACGACAACTGCACACTTCCGGTCATCTTCATCTTGAGAGTTCATCAGCACGATCCATGGGTCGGATAGCACGGTGGTAGTGATGTCCGTCATCACGAGCATGGTGCAAGTTCGGTTTCGTTCTGGGCCAACCAAACCTCTCGTCCCGCCGCGGTCGCGGAATTGATGCCGGACTTGCCTGGCAAAAATCACTGTCTTCAATCCAATCGGGAATACTCCAGCCCGACTATCTCAGGGCTCCAGGGAGAATTGCTCGACCAGCATTCTACGACGTTCAACATGAGATGAAGATCCTCAGGAAGCAAGCGAATCCATATGTAAAAAGACCTTCGTGGACGATGGATGCGAGGGAACGAATTGGATATGAGAACTGCTGGGATCCGCACAGGAGACTTGAGGATGGATCAAATGAAATTTAAAAAAGCAGTACGATGCTCTTGACCCCTTCGCGATGAATCGCAACCATGTCTTGTACAAAAGTGATGTCTATGGAAGAAAAGTAGTCTTACAGGTTGCACAGAACTTATGCGCGCTATTGTCCTGCAACATCTCTTTTTCCTTAAATTTATATGACCTGTCATCAAATCTGCTATGGGGATCCCAACATTTCTTGCATTCGATTCGTTTTGCTTGCACTCATCGTCCTCAATGGTCTTCGAACACTTGACGAGTCTTTTCAACTTCTCCTTGATCATTTCGTTTGCTTTTATGAATGTCGTATAATGCTGGTCGGGTACAACTACCATGCAATCTTGAAAACAGCCGGACTAAGGCGTTCCCATGCCGATTGTAACAGAGCGCTGGCGCATTTTAAGCTGGTGTCTTTGTTCCCCAAGCAACTGCATCACTAACCATTGCGCTATCCTCGCTCTCTTACTTTGTATCAATGAATACAATACGATGTTATAAAAGCTACTACATCTCATCTCAGCAACCAATAACGGGATCCATCACTGTCCTTGTACCGAACTTGCCGCTTGATGGGAATCTCGCTCTAATCAAAAACATAGCGAGTGCATGTAGTGGTGACAACATGGGCAAAATGGAAATCATGCTGGCACCTACGCAACCAGTGAAGAACACCCATCCTATCATCCAAGTAAGCACCACATTTCCTCAAAATAAACTATTCCATCTACCTTTTTTGAACCACTAAACTTAGAACCAGATGCATACTGATGGCGAAAAGTCTCAAGCGCAAAGTCTTCATACAACCTGCATAACAGGAAAACCAAGATGAACACGAGAATGCAGCTGTACGAAGAAAAGGGAAGAAGAAGCTAAACTCAACATTTCAAGCACGTGAATTTGACGTAAATTTGACATACAAGAATTACAACGACAGTGTTAATTAACCATATCTAAATTTGTGCTAGAACTATGAAATTTCACAAGAGGAAATATCATCAACATGGACCAAAATAGAACGTCCAAGATAGAGAGAATCTCAAGCAAACATTATACACACAGAAAAACGAGTTGCAGGCTAGTGGTCCAGGTCACGAAAACGTTAGCAAATTACCAAGATTAAAAGTGTGAAATTTAAGACTGTACAATAATGACAAGTAAAACACTAACCGACAAGAAGAAATTCATGTCGAACAACACCGAATATGAAGAAAAATTACAATCGCGTGAAACAGGTGAATAAAACAGTTACATTAGGCATAAATATGGACACGTCTGAGAGCTGGAAATGAACCGTACTTAGGATGCTCCGTAGTATCGCTGATGTTTCTCTTTTCAAATTTGGCTGTTACTAGATGATGAAAAGTTGTTATAAAAAATTGCGTATACGATTTAGGACCCAACAAAAATTAGTTATGAATGACGATCGCTTTTTCAGCGGCATGGGATCCACGAGCTCCACGAGACTTATTCATATGATCAAGACCAAGATAGGGAGATGTTGCTAAGGCTAAATATCAATAGCATTAACACTTCTCTCAAGCAAATTTTTAAATAAAAACGCAACTTACATGCTACGTGAGCGTGGCCAAGTTCGGCAAGATTCACTCTACCATTCGAAGTCATGTCAAGATATCTTACAACTCGCGAGGAGGAAATTAACGCAAACTTGTATTTCTCGTACTCCTTGTCGGGAACATCAAGACGAGCTTGAATGCGTTCTCTAACACTCGACAATAGCTCATCGTTGGCCACCTAAACTAAGCTCTTAATAGAATTCGTCCAAAAAACTGTGTTGATTTCATAACGATTTAAATACATTCCTTTGGTTGTGTGGGAAAATGGCAGAATCCCGCTTATATGAAGAAAATTTTCTGGTAACATCGATACGGCTGTGTTACAACACCTACTAGTGTATTGACATATTGGGAAGCGCTGAATAAGTTCCAAACATGCATAAAGCAAACTACAACGAACGAAAACAAATGAATACCAGACCTTTAAAAAGAAGGGGACGCCAAACATTCGACCGGGATCTTTGTCAAAATGCGCAATTGGGACAAGGTATTCGTTGCTCCGAACGACCAGCTGATCTTGAGGAACTTCCTCAACACGTCCCTAAATGCACCCACTACTATCAAAAAAAGAGAGCAAAAAATACTGAAGAATTACATGAATTCGATGCCAATACAGAAACAAATATCGTAAACAACTACCATGTACATGGACGGCGTCATGGTTTTCTGGAATACCTCCATCACAGAAGTTTCTTCTTTGAATATCGTGTAAGCCCGCATGCTCTGGCTACTCTGGCCAACGTAGACGAGTCTAATTTTATAAGAAATAAATAAAGGCAAAAAGTGTTAAAAAACTGGAATCCTTCCACAAATATCATGACATCTACTTTCCTTTAAAATCTGCCTTCCATCCCATCCCTGTACAAATCAAGTAAGCCATTCCAAGCAAATTCGAAAAAGTGTGATGTGTCGTCAAAATGATACCTCAACTTTCCCGTACCGTTCGGTGCGAACTTGAACTCTCGTCTTGCCTCCTCCAGAATATCTCGCACTGTCCCAATTTTCTCAGGAAAGATAGTGATTTCCTGAAGATTTCTCCAGAAAAAATTCCTGAATGCTCACAAACGACATACCAAAAGACTCACCGTTATATTCATTTTCTCGTCCATCATCTGGATCTTCATTTGTCGCTTACGCTCCATATCAGCTATTGGAATTGGCATCTTCGTATAAACTACGCGGTACCTTGAAGAATGTAAAACATTCACAAGTATTTAGAGAAAACGAAACTTCATTTCGAAGTAGATGCGATCAGATATGCGTTGTACTCCTAATGGTTTTGCATTACACACCTCTTGTTACGTCTGGGATCATGAAGTTGTGCTCCTGCAAGCCCAAGCAATCCGTTCACACGTAAGGCCTTAAATCAACAACATATCCAATATCTTCTCATACTGCATTTATACTACCAACCTTAGACTGGGAATCAGTGAGGAACTGCGTAGCACGATCATTGAACGGTGACACCCGCCATAGCAAAATTTTAGCAGGGTCGTAATTGATCTCTTTCCCTATGTAATCCACTAGTTGTCGCATGGTCCAATTCTACAACGACACATAGGCATATATGCTGCAAAACGAAAAACAGGAATTTCAGCCTACGTAAAAAACTAGAGAAGGGAATTGCATAGAAATACTAGTTGAAGACAAAATCCGAAATTTCAATTAAAAGATGAATACAGACAGATATGTCCACAAAAGAGCTCATACGCATTGAAAGAGTCGTTAGCCTAATCACACACTGAACTCACCAGTCCAATCGTTCCCGTGATAGGAGGATCAAGCTCCGCGTTATTCGAGACGAAAGAATCATTGTTGGCAATGGCTTCGATGTCGATGGTGTTATAAAGTGTATCGAGATGCAACTTGGCATTGTTTGTTTCATTTGTTCGGTCTTGACGCTCAGCGATCAACAAGCCGCCATCGCTTACTTCCACGACTGTATTATCAGCACACAATGGCTTTCCAAGGCTCTCAATTAAGCGGATGCGGTCCGGTGCAACTTCCTGAAAAAGCTTAGCATAAATCGAGAAGACTAGCGTTGGGCTAAAGCACAACATACCTCATAAAAACGTAATGGTGTATTCTCAGGAAGACCAATCAGCTTTAAACACTCACTAGTGTAAGCTGACATACATTGACGATAGGCAACTATGAAATGCCCAACATACCGTAAGGTACGTGATTGCTCATCATAGTACTTCAAGAACATCAACATTTCGGCTTAAAATTTCCCATGATATAACACTTAAATCTTTGAATTTGAATAAAATCCTACAGTTTTCATTGTAACTCCTCAGTGAGTTTGCTGGGCTCGCCTCAATGTATAGCAAATTTCGATCGCTCTCAAGAACAGCTTCCAGAGTCTTCTCTTGTGTCTCCTCGGAATGTGGAATCTAAAACATTTCGAAAGAAAGGCATATAACATGTTCAATAATTGAGATTTCTCACCAGTGACGTCGGACGCAAACGAGGCAAGGCTGACATAACACTGCCCTCGTCCTTGTAGGTCGTTTCCTCAAACTTCCATATTCTGAACATTTCCCGGGCCGGTGTCTGAAGTTCGCTGTTTCAAAGTTACGAATAAATTTTATCATATTGGAATAAAAGCACATAGTGCTAACTACCTCGATTTCGTGCTCCTTTGAAAAAAGCTTTGTCTTCACGTAATCGTAAAGTTGTGGGATCGTCATGCTTTTTTCGATTTTCTCGCGAGGCAAACCAGTATCGTCTAATAGCTTCGGATCGACCAAATCAAAGCCGTTGTAGCTGGTTAAGTGTTCGTCCGTGACCATCTATACCATAAATATCAAATTCATTAAGCAGGAAAACGTGTTCAAATTCCCAAATAAAATTGAACATGGCTGTAACTTTCTCCACGTAGCATTTCCTGATTGGAAGACCGTAGTAGTCTATTCTATAAAGTCTTAATTGAAACACCACACTTCCTTAAAGGATTACGATATACTCAGACTCTCTAACACACTTTGCCATACCGGAATAACTTACAAGTTAATAGTGTCATAAAAGGCGTCAATATTTTGAAAGTTATCACTGCACTACGGTGTGCGTGGCGCAGTGGTCGCAGGCGCCCTGCAACACATACGTGAAATCGACCACTGCGCCCATGGCCCACAAAGCCTTGCATCTCTTCCGGGTCAGCGGATTGGTACCAGATTTGTCTGGAAGGATAGTAGCACTGGCTGGATACATCGGCGAGCCACCCACCGTCAGTCAACGTAAAGGCCAGATATGCATTCAATTACCTTCTAACGATGCTTAATGAAGTCGAATGCATGGCGCATCCCTCAGGGATTGATCAACGCCGAGAGCTCCATCCTTTATTATCACTGCACTTAGAGTTATGCAAAATTTAAGGTAAGCATATTAGCCCGTCATTGAGAAGGAACTCCTCCCAACGGTTTGCTACCTCATCGCGGCAGAGTTCATGGATGTCGGACTGCAATGTACAACGGAAGGATTCATCCCCCGGGAAGGCCTCCCAAGTGGAGAACTAGTCCGGCGTTTCCATTCAGAAGACAAGCAAACATTAAACCAATACCAGGATCTACCAACACCCTGATACCAAACTATGGTGGCAAATTTCCCTCTGATCCACAAAGGAGTAGACTGCCAGCGGTGTTGACGACCTACAGCAGACTTTGGCTTCGCTGACCTCGTGAACACGGCGAACCACAATAGCTAAACCGATAAAACTCCGAAAAAATGGAGATTATGTGGGGCCCGCATTGCCAGCGAAGATGGGCCAAGAGAACGTCCAAATATGCAAATGTGAGGATCTATCTTCAACGTTGCATTTGGGAATTCAGATTGCGAAGCTGGTTAACCAAGAATTCTGCGCAATTTTGGCACTTCCTTCACGTCCTTGAGAATATACAAGCGAAACGAGATCACGAGTGATTCCCAAAGAAATTCAGAAGTTGGCCTTTCAGTACAAATATATGTTCCAATAAACTTACGACAATTTCAGTATAGAGATGTGCTTCCTGTTTTTCTTTCTTCTTCTTGTTTTCTTCCTCTCGTTCATTTTCAAATCGCTGTACGAGGTGTGCGGGAACTTCGAGATTCTCATGCTGGCACAAGACCTCATCTAAATAGTAGTGAACAAGGACAAATCTGTACAAGAAGTTCTCGAACAACATAAGTGCACTTTTACCTATACAACTTTGTCTCACGTATACGAGCATGTAAGCATTTGTATACGTGCGTCCGGTCGACTCGCCATCGTCTCCTCCGTAATTCGCCATAACTGCTTCCCTCACGGTTGCCCTTGAAACGACATCGTCGTCAAATTTGCACCACTGAAAGAGCAAAAGCATTTATCCTACTTGACTCAAATTACTAGTGAAAGTTTCTACAGCATCATATGGCTCATATCTCACCTTATACATGCCTCGCCCGTAAAAGCTACGTGACCAATTTGCAAAATTGTAACGGAAGTGAGGAATAATATGTCCTAGCTTAGAACAAATTAAAGTGCGAACACTTGATTAAAATATTATGAAGAAAGCCCTCACGCATTCAATCAAATCCTGTGTGACACACAGACCCTTTGTTTCCTATAATGATAGTAGGTCCCACTACTAATTAGCAACGTCCCATATTGCCTAATCAGAAGCACTGTGAGCAAAGAGGAAAAAAACTTATAAAGTCTTAAATCTGAAGAAAATTATCGGATCCACAAACATTGAACAACAAACCTTCGGCTTGTATTTTTCACCAGGTGGACGAAGGCCAGTGTTGATGAATACAACATAGTGACCACCGTGGAAATCCCCGGAGTGCACAAGTACTGCGTGTAAGCAATATGTGTAGTCTTCTCCATTTCCCTCCATAAATTCCTTCAGGCAGAGCTTATCGGGGAAGGCAAATCTTTAATTCGTCCCATTTACAAAATTGGAAGTGTTTTGGAAGTTTTGAGTTACACGAACTTGTCATTGATTTTCACGTTGGCGTCAAGAGTGGCATCGTACTGGAAACGCATCAGCTGCAGGTGCAGAACAGGTGGGAAGGAAACAAATTTCACACCCTTTTCAGCCGGTTGCATACCATAGTCACCAGCATCGTATTTGTTCTCGCCATCCAAACGCTCAACTTGGACATACTCTCGAAAGGATTGCATAACTGGAAATAAGTCGTATTGCATAGAGGAGTGTTAGCATACTATTTACTCGTAATTTAATATTTCTAAAATCTGTTTGTTAAAATGTGGTCATAACACACACACAAATGAACATGGTTATTGCGAAAAAGCTGTACGTGTCATTCATTAGCTCATTCGCCAAATCGCATAACATAGCTGATAGGAACAGGTTCAACCACTCCTTATTTGGGCTATAAAATGAAATTCAACTGATCAAGCTGCCACCCAGGGTGAGACGTGGAGATTCCTCCACTTATGCTTCTCTATCTGAACAACAACCAAGAATCGAAATGTAAGTCATGGATCTATCTCTTTGTAGCAAACACTCAGAACCCTCCACACGTACTGCAGCAGTTCCTGTGGCAATCTCAACAGCGGAGACACTGGAGTTCCTTCATCACCAGCAAACGACTCCATAGTACTGCCACCACCATAGAATGATAGAACGTTCCGAAACTCTTTTTACAAGTCATAATGTGTGGAAAACCGACTCTATCTGGTGAAATATTGGAAG